TGCTGTAGTTGCTGTAGTAAGTTTTGAAATTGGGATGTATAAATCTTCCAACTGTTTTTCTTTTACAGGATCCTTACAGTATCCTACAGGATACTCTGGGTCCTTTTCATGTCCCTATGAATTTTAGGATGAACTTAATAATTTCCCCATCTGGGATTTTGACAGAGGTTCTGTTGAATCAGCAAATTAATTGGGAAGTGTTGACATCTTAACAATATTAAGTCTTCCTATTTATTAGCACAGGATGTCTTTACATTTATTTAGGTTTTTAATTTCTTTCAATGATGTTTTATAGTTTTCAGTGTACAAGTCCTACGTGTCTTTTGTCAAATTTCTAAATATTTTATTCTTTTTGATGCTGTTTTAAGTAGAATTGTTTTGATTTTTTTTTGGATTGTTCATTGCCAGGATACACTTACACAGTTGGGTTTTATATATTAATCTTATATCCTACAAGCTTATTTAACTAGTTTATTAGTGCCAGTTTTTTTTTTTTTGGTGGATTCCTTAGGATTTATACATACAAAATCATGTCATCTACAAATAGAGATAGTTTAGTTTCTTCATTTCCAATCTAGGTGTCTACTTTTTTCTTTTTTTTTTGATCCTTTTGCATAATTTCTCTGGCTAGAACCTACAGTAGATATTCAACAGAATTAGCAACAGCAAGCAGCTATTGCTTGTCTCTGATTTCTTTCAGCTTTTCACCATTAGGTATGATGCTAAATGTAGGGTTTTTGTAAATGTTCTTTGTCAGGTTGAGGAAGATTCTTTTTCTATTCTTAGGTTGAGTATTTTTATCATGAAAGGGTGTTGTACTTTTCTCAAATGCTTTTTCTGCATTTCACTTTGTTAATGTGGTATTTCATATTGATTGATTTTTATACATTGGACCAAGATTGCATTTCTGGGATAGATATTACTTGGCCATAATGTATACTTTTTGTATATGTTGCTGGATTCCATTTGCTAGTATCTTATTGAGGATTTTTTCATCTATATTGATAAGGGATATTGGTCTATAGTTTTCTTGTGATGTCTTTGTTTTTGGTTTCAGGGTAATACTGTATTCATAGAATACATTGAAAAGGGTTCCCTCTTATATTATTTGGAAGAATTTGTAAAGGATTGGGGCTAATTTTTTAAATGTTCAGTGGAATTCACCAGCAAAATCATGTACGCCTGGGCTTATCCTTGTGGGAAGTTTTTTGATTACTAATTTAGTCTTTTTGTTATAGATCTATTCAGATTTTCTGTTTCTTCTTGAGTCAGTTTCAGTAGTTTGTGCTTTCTGGGAATTTGTCCATTTCATCTAAGTTATCTAACCTGTTGATAAGATCATTTTTATAGTATTCCCTTCTAATGCTTTTTATAAGGTCATTGGTAGTATCCTGTTTCATTTCTGATTTTTTAGTAATTTGGGTCTTCTCTCTTTTTCTTGGTCAGTCTAGCTAGTTTTGTCTACCAAGACCTCAGGCAGCCGCAATGTTCAACAATTGCCTCTGACTATTTTCAACAAATATCTCCAGTGGGGAAAAGGCTATATACAATAGGTGAACTCCAAGTCAGATCAAATGAAGAAAGCCTTGCCAGTGGTGTCTTCTAGAGAACTACCAAATAGGTAAAATAATGACATTTATCTAGGAATGGGGCTTTGGAGGATATCCAGCCTAATTCTGCCCTCTCCAGTGGTTGCCAGCCTGCTGATTTTCACCATAAATGTGGGCTGTTGGTTTTCAAGGGTGTCATGGAGTTCTGGGGACAGTGGAAATAGGGCAGGTTAAAACACTGTAAAGCTTAGCTTCTTACCAAAATTTCATTGCCTTTCTTGAAGAAATGCTTCCAGGACTGCTGCAAGTCTTTTGTTAATTTCCATATTTCTGAAGAGTTGATTCTGACAGTATTTACCAGGTTTCCTTTTGCTTTTGTGGAGGAGGGTATTTTCAGAGATCCGTATTCTGCCGTTTTTGCTGACATCTGTACAATTGTAACTTCTAATTATAACATTCCTTCTGCATTTATTAGATGGAATTCTTTAAAGAACTTTTCATTATCAACTGTTTGGTTACCATTAAATATAATTTGTAAACAAATGACAGAATAATGCATGGTAAGTATCTTTAGTTGTGAAATTTCAAAATAGTGATTTGGTGCCTTTGTAACCATCCAAAAATATCAGTTAGTTTTTTTTTTTTTTTTAACATCTTTATTGGGGTATAATTGCTTTACAATGGTGTGTTAGTTTCTGCTTTATAACAGAGTGAATCAGTTATACATATACATATGTTCCCATATCTCTTCCCTCTTTGTCTCCCTCCCTCCCACCCTCCCTATCCCACCCCTCCAGGCAGCCACAGAGAACCGAGCCGGTATCCCTGTGCCATGCGGCTGCTTCCCACTGGCTATCTACCTTACGTTTGTTAGTATATATATGTCCATGTCTCTCTCTCGCCCTATCACACCTCACCCTTCCCCCTCCCCATATCCTCAAATCTGTTCTCCAGTAGGTCTGTGTCTTTATTCCTGTTTTACCCCTAGGTTCTTCATGACATTTTTTTTTCTTAAATTCCATATATATGTGTTAGCATACGGTATTTGTCCTTCTCTTTCTGACTTACTTCACTCTGTATGACAGACTCTAGGTCTATCCACCTCATTACAAATAGCTCAATTTCGTTTCTTTTTATGGCCGAGTAATATTCCATTGTATATATGTGCCACATCTTCTTTATCCATTCATCCGACAATGGGCACTTAGGCTGTTTCCATCTCCAGGCTATTGTAAATAGAGCTGCAATGAACATTTTGGTACATGACTCTTCTTAAATTCTGGTTTCCTCAGGGTATATGCCTAGTAGTGGGATTGCTGGGAATATCAGTTAGTTTGTTCTTTCTTTTTGGTATCATTATTAACTCATTTGAAAAAAAATACCATCATGGATTTTAACCTACATTCATTTCAATGAGAAATGATATTTAGAGATCACAGTATGTGTCCAGATGTGCCCATTGCTACAAAGATATTGTTACTTTAGGCATTTTCAGTGGGCTGATACAGGAAGTAATTTTTTTTGAAAGAGAAAATTTGAGCTTTTTAATTCATATTGTGAGTTCATACTATTTCCTGTTCATAGGATTTTACAGGGTATTTACTTATCTTTAGACTTATTTCATCTTACACTGAAATTCTTATTTTTTTTTTGACATTAACAATGATTTCTTCATGTCACAACATACGTAAGTAATTTCAAAATAATATCATTACTACAAATAAGACTACTGCTGTCCAATGAGGTCAGGAGAGCCATACATAAACAAACGATCCACTTCTTAACATGTATCCAAAGGAAATGAAATCATTATCTCAAAGGGATATCTGCATTCCAATTGCAGCATTATTCACAGTAACCAAGGTGTGGAGACAACCTAAGTGTCCATCAATGGATAAATGGATAAAGATGTGGTTTGTGAACACACACAGAGGAATATTATTCAGCTTTTAAAAAAGGAAATCCTGCCATTTTCGACAACATGGATGAATCTGGAGGGGATTATACTAAGTGAAATAAGCCAGACAGAAAGACAGATACCTGATATTACTTATATGTGGAATCAAAAATGAAAAACAAAAGTCAAACTCACAGAAACAGAGTAGAAAAGTTGTGAGAGGCTGGGGGATGAGGGAAATAGGGAGAGGTTGGTAAAAGGATATGTATAATCTTTCACTTATAAAATGAGTAAGGTCTGAGGATCTAATGACTATAGTTGATAACACCTTACTATATAACTGAAATTTGCTAAAAGAGTTGAACTGAAATGTTCATTGCAAGAAAAAAAAATATGTGAGGTGACAGATGTGTTAATTAACTTGATGGGAAAATCCTTTCATAATATATGCTTATATCAAATCATCACGTTGTATACTTTAAATATCTTACAGTTTTATTTGTCAATTATACCTCAATACAGCTGTGAAAAAATACCTACTGAATATAGTTTTCCTAGTGGGTTGTTTTATCCTGTTTTTAATTTTTGGTTTCTTTGCTTGCTTGTCTGTTTATTGCCCTTAGGATATAACTGACTTGGGATGTGAAGTCACAATACTGTATTTTAGCTAAAAACTAGAAAGCACTCAAATGCCCATCAATGGTGGAACGATTAATTTGTGGCATATCCATATAATAGACACTGTACTCAGTGAATAAATACATCAATATAAAGTATAACTACATGCAACAATGTGGATAGATATTCCAAACAATGTTGAAGAAAAGAAGCAAGACACAAATAAGCTTATACTAGATAATTGCATATACATGTGTATGTTATGTATGTATGTGTGTATGTATATGTGTACATATATACATATACACATACAGTTTTGCCTATTTTTATGCTACAGTATAGAAATATATAGCATACTATATGTAGTATAAAAATAGTCAAAACTATACATATATGTGTGTGTACTATACTATACGTTGTAAAAAAATGGGCAAAGCTATATATATATACACACACATTTATATACACACTTACACACTAAATTCAGTAGGTTTATAGTATATATAGTATAAAAATAGGCATATGTATACACACACATAGGATAAAAGTAGGCAGAGCTAATCTCTTCTGACATAAGTTACTGTTAGGAGGACAAAATCCCATAAGATGGGATTTAGGGGTGCAGGTATATGTTTTGTTTCTTAGTTTGAGTGGCACTCACTTGTGTATGTTTCATTTGTGAGTGATTAGAAGCTATAAAATTATGTGTACTTTCTCTGTGTGTATTATAATACAATAAAATGTTTGTTCAAGTTGTCTTTTAAAGCCAATCGAAATAGTTCTTTTCTAATGTGATTGTGGCACAGCTTAATATAGAGTTAGACTTCTTTCAAAACTAATTTGCATTCATTTTGGAATGTAGACACCCAGAATATGAGCTTGATAGCCTGGACAGTGCTATCCATAGTCATGAACTTGGTTCTTTGATTTCTCAGGAGAACGTGTGCCTGTCAGGGGCTGGACCCAGAGACCTGTGGTGCCTCCTTTTCTTTTGGTTGTTCATGGAGCATGTACTACAATGGATGTAAGTTTGCCAGGAGCAAGATCCCAAGAAAATTTAAGCTGCTTGGGGATGACCCAAAAGAGGTTTGTTTACTTCCTGATGTATAATCTGTTTATTTTTCATGGAGAATTGATGAGCACAGATGAAGTGAACAATATAATAAACTCTCATTAACAGAGAATTTCATCTCAGAGCAGTAAAATTTTGGCTAAACGGTAGGCACACATAATAATAGTTTATAAAATTAGCATAATAACAGCCATGTGATACTAAAGTAATAAATTTGATCAACATAAACTATATTTATGGCCTTTTACACTTATTCTTCGTCTTCTGTGTAAACTCCAGAGTTTCACACAGCTGTCATTTCCATATTAAAACTAAATATTACTGCTTCAGTGTTAGAACGTTCATCTTTTGAACCTGAATTATAGAAATCATGTTCGTGACTGCCACATTCATAAAAGTCCATTTCTAGTCACAGTTTCAACCCATGAGATTTGATGGCTTAACGTTACTGTAATAAATGCATTCAGGTAACTAAAACGTATTTAGATTTTAATATAAAGGTGTAGTTGAAATAAATGAACATTGATTTCTCATTGACATCACTGGTTTTTGTCCTTCTCTAGAATATATATTTCTCAAAATATAACTTGTAGATTGGTATTACGTTTAACAACTTTTGTGTAGCATGTATTCTAGAGTATGCTAATTGAATAATCAGAAAACCTCAGTATATTTAGCATTCATATATGATCAAATTTTTAGTCAATCTATACATGTTATAATTTTCTTTCAAATTTTAAATGCAATTGAAATATGCAATTATACTATTGATGTAACAATTTTTATATGTCCCTTTGAAAAATTTGTTAGCTTTATTATTTATGACAATAATAGTAAGTGGAAGTTTAATAAAGTGCAAAAGCTCTTCAAGTCGTGATATAAATTTTTCATAGAATCATAACATTTTAATAAGCTGTATTAATGTGCTAGATATCCTCTTTGCATAAGAAAACACAAATATTTGATAAACCTAATGAATAGCAATTTTGCCTGCTGTCTTACACTTTTAATTTTCACACTGGAGAGCATTTTCTCCACTACTTCATAAATGTTTATCACTCTGTGTTTCATGTAAACAAATGCAGGGGATGGCTAGTGACATCCTCCCTCTGTTAGGTAGGAGGACTCCGGTCAGAAACCTCCTCACCTTCTAAAATGCAAGCAAGTATACCTCTGCCAGCTGCTTACATCTCCCAAGGTTTTTAGAGAAATATCAATGTGAGATGAGAACTTCTAAGTATGAATAGAACAACTGAGTATTGTCCCCTCCCATTTAAAAAAGCATATTCTTTGCTTGGGGGTGGGGGCGAATATACCTGAACATTTTTCCTCTCAAGTAAACTTCACAAAGTTTTTCATATATACCACATTATAGTTCTTAGGGTTTTTTTCATATTTGAATCACATAGTAATTTTTAGTTCTATGGCGTGATCATTTCAAATTTTGTAATGCTATTTTTTATAAACATTTAAAATATAAAGATTAGAGATAGATTAAACCAAACAAATCCTTTCAATAGCTCATCTTCCTCGGCCACTAATTGGAGAAGAATAGAGAATGTGACCTTTTAAAGACCGTATGGCTTCATTCTCCTAATCCTACTACCAGCATAGACTTATATTAATAAAATGCCAAATATCTGCATGCAAAGTAGAAAATTGATTAATCTCATGTAAATACCAAAGAGCTAGACATTTAACAGCACATACCAAAACAGATGATATATGGTCTATGCTTTTCACTTAGAAATAGTCACGTTAAGATGATATTTAGTTATTGGGTTGGCCAATGTTACGGGAAAACCCCAAACAAACTTTTTGGCCAAGCCGATATTTAATGAAACAGTATATATTTGTGATTTGGATCTAAGATATAGGGGGAAAAATCTAATTGATAGCCTCTCTCATATATGGATAGAATGGATTTAGAATTTAATATGTAGAATTATTAATTCTATGCAGGAAGAGAAACTGGAGTCTCATTTACAAAACCTGTCCACTCTTATGGCACCAACATACAAGAAACTTGCACCTGATGCATATAATAATCAGGTAAGTTTAAACAGTTATTGACAATGATTAGAACACTTTACTTACTCATTATTGATGGCCTATCTTTCCAAAAATATTTTTGAAGCAATGATTTTCCTTTATTTTTCTAACTTTTTCTCTTCCTAATTGTTGAAACCACTGCAGTGTTCTGTTTTTGATATATGAATATTTGATATATGAAAATTACACCATCCAAAAGAGTGTATTTTTGGGCTTCCCTGGTGGCGCAGTGCTTGAGAGTCCGCCTGCCGTTGCAGGAGACGCGGTAAAAAAATAAAAAAAAATAAAACAAAAGAGTGTATTTTTGGTCTTTTAATCTGTAAAAGATAATGAGCTTTTAAGGCTCACAAGCTGTTTTACCTACTAATCTTGTTCTCATATGGATAATTTTATCTCTGTAAGCAGACTTTAGTGATTAATTGCAATTATATGGCTCATACTGTAGGTTCTAACCACCTGTTAACTGTTTCCACAGCAAGTCTATACATGTAAAGCTATGGGTGTACTACTTTGTAAGTGTATATACATGTGTCGAGATACGTCAGATTTTGCTAGATTTTTCCTTTTTCTTTTTCCTTTCCTATTTTCTAAGTGTGTGCTGGGTTATACCTATATGGAAGGCCAGGTGATTCGTTGAGAAATGCTCGTGAAGGAGGCAAAAGACCGTGAAGTCTACACTGTTTCAATAACATCAACAGCAAAAGCAGTACATGAAAGCCTATTATGAACCAGATGCTGTGTTTAGTCACTGTGGACATTAAGATGAGCAATGCAGATTCTCTGTCTTTACAAAACTCCTTCCTTAGAGGAGACAGAGATATGTAAAATGCCAGCTATAGAAAAACATGATAACAGCTGGGATAGAAGTATGCATATTTCTGAAGGAACAAAAAGGTTCTCCCTGAAAGTAGAGATGTAAGGTCACAAATGGCCTTGGAGGCCATACAAAGATCTTTGAACTTTATCTTATAGGTAAGAGGCCTACCACTGGGGTGTTCTAAGTGTATATTGGGGATGGTGAGGGTGAAGTGATTTAACTTGAAAAGGTCACTCAAGCCAAATAAATGAAATACAGCTTAGATTATAGAAGATTAAATTAGAGAAGTAAGCTATAGCAATCACTGGGCAAGAGACGTTAAGGTCCTAATTTAACGAAATAGCAGTAGTGATAGAGAAAATGAAATAAGTATGTGAAATATTTGGTGGAACTTATAAACTTAGTGACCAGTCAGATTTGAGAACGAGCAAAAGAGAATTTGAGCGTCCACCAAATTTCTGGCTTGTACAGGTGGTTGTATTAGTATTAGGAATCAGTGAGGAAAAGTAAGTTTGGAGGAGATAAGGAGAAGATGACAAATTTCATTTTGGACATGCTAGGTTCGACATACTTCTAGGATAATTAAAAGAAAAATCGGGAGAAAAATCCAGGTTAGCACTGTGATTTGGGAGTTATCAAAATGCAGGAAGTAGTTAGTAGTAAATACAATTTTTCAGAGTGAAGATTACAAAGAGGAGAAGGGGCTAATGATTTTAATATTTAACATTTTAGGGGTGAGTGGGGGAAGAGAAACCAGTGAAGGAAGGACTGGGGGTAGGAGCAATGGAATAGGAGAGGGAGCAATGGAATAGGAGAGGTTAAAGATTTAAGAGGAAGAGGAAGATTGATAGATGGAGGAAAGCTTGAGGTGATGAGAAGGTATTCAGAACAGAGTACACAGAAGTATGGATACGGGAAAGCGTGAAGTGTGACACATTTTGCAAACATTGTCATTTACTTAATAATGTTAAAGACTCTAAGGGGACTAGATTAGTCTACATAGCAGAGACAGACAGGGCACCAATTTTAGTCAACAATTTAGCTATTCTTGTTTCCAATGTGGACTTTAACATTTTCCCCAAACCTCAATTCTTTTTTTTTTAAGTTTTTCTTTTTTTTTTTTAAGTGGGAGCAAAGGAGGCAACTTTAATAATGACTGTCTCTTTATAAGTTGTTTTATGTCACAACCTAGATATTTAGAGATATATGTTAATGTCTATGAAAATTATTTTAAATGCTATCAATAACAAACAGTGGGATTAATATTGTTATTTTTACAACTTTACCTATTTTAATCAGTGTCACAGAAAAGTATAAGGAATGGTTTGCTACTGTTGTAAAATAACTCTGGTGAGAAAAATAATAAATCAAGCTATAAAAAGAAAATAAATTGAGTCTATGTTGCTAGATTTCAAGTTTGGCCATTTTCTGTTGAGTGAATTTTTTATAGGGGCTATTAATCAAATGGCTTTAACTGGGGAAAGGGACAGAACAACAAGCATTGATGTTCTTACTCCTTTGATTCCTATTATAGACTGTCTCATACAAACTTGATTATCTAAGCATTTATATTCTACACTATAACTTTTTGTTTGGAGTATTTTATGCATTTCCTGAACCTGGAATATCTAAAATATGAAGGTACCTCAAGTCTTTAAGTTAGAACAAGATGATTAGGTATAATTCCTTAGATGTGTTTTAATATTTGTATATGAGTAAATGTGTAGATAGATATACTAAACAATTGGCATGAAGTTTCAGTTAAGCAAGATGAATAAGGTCTAAGATCTGCTGTACAATTGTACCTATAGTCAACGATAATGTACATTTAAAAATTTGTTAAAAGTGTAGCTCTCATGTTAAGTGTTCTTACCACAATAAAATAAAATTTAAATACATACATACATTCATACATTTCAAAATAAATGTAATGTCTATATAAACTAAATCAACTAATGGCTAAGAACAAATAAGGTGTTTTTTATATTGCATGGTAGGTACTACTGGAAAGTTTATCCGTATGTCTTAACATGGTTTAGAGACCCCAGAAAACAGCCATGTGATCTTTTCCTACAGTATACATAACACATCAAGGTTATAGGTGCTGTGGAAGTCTACTGTTTGGTATTTGCCTCCTTCCCCCTACTGAATATAGTACCTTTATTTCTCATATATGAATGTTCTTCTTTGCTTTATTCCTTGATTTCATAAAGACTTACTGCTGAAGTTAAGCTTCATTAGGTCTTCACAGCATTTCTTGTCAGCTCCATGGAATTAGATTATAGGTTTTCTTAACTTAAATATCCTTTAAGTCTATCCAGTAGAGTATATTTCTCTATCTTTTCTATGGTTATCTTACCATTAAACTTTAGGACTGAATTAGCAGGCTCAAATCTCAAAATCATGTGCTCTCGTCATGTGTGGAGATGACATTTTAAACCAAGAAAACTTTCTTTGACAGTGGAAATATTTTCTGTCTACACTGTTCAGAACGGTAGTTACTAGCCACATGTGGTTACTGAACACTTGATAAGTGGTTAGTGCAACTGAGTTAATGAACTTTTTAATTAATTTAAATTTAAATTGCTACATGTGGCTAGTAGCTGCCGTATTGAACAGCACAGATTTACACCATCAGAAAGCCATGCACTTAGAACTGTCTTCCAGACACAGAGACAAATTTCCAGTAATCCATTCACAGATCCCTGCATGGTATTTCTTATGAGATGGCATGAGTCTCAGGACCAGCTAGATTTTGTATACATTTTTATTCAAGGAACAGAATAAAGCTAACTAGATCACGGCATCGCACAATATTATTACACTAATATATGTGTAATTAGAGTCCCAAAAGGAGGACAGAAAAATATCTTTAAGTATAATGGCCAATTATTTTTCAAATTTGTTCAAAACTATAAACCCATTGATCCCAGAAGCTCAGCAAGCCCCAAATGGTGGGCGGGGGTGGCGGGGGGAGATATGAAGAAACTATATAAAATCACATTAAAATCAATTTGCTTACAGTGATTGATTAAGAGAAAATGTGAAAAGTAGATGGGGGAAAAAGACATTACTTATAGGGAAAAAATGGATAATAGACACACAAGACAAAGTCTGAGAAAGATGCAAGAAAAAAGAGGAAAAACATCCTTAAAGTACAGAAAGAAAAAAAAAAAAACAGACTATCAATCTAGAAATCTATAACCAGTAAAAACAACTCTCAAAAGTGAAGGCAAAAATAAAGATTTTTTTTTTCAGGCACACAAAAGCTGAAATAAATAACTTACCACCACCGGCAGACTAAAACTTCAAAAATGTTAAAGGAAGCCCTCTGATGATAGAAAGAAAAATGATACGATAGAAATCTGGTTTGGCAAAAAGTAATGAAAACATCATAAATAGTAGATATGCGAGTAAAAAGACTTTTTTCCCTTATTAAAAAAATTTCTTTACAAGATAGTTTGTTATTTTAAAATATATTAAAAATGTAATTTAAGGTTTATATGTAAAAGTAGCACAGAGGCTTGGGGATTGGAAGTATACTGTTGTAAGATTCTTATGTTATATATGGATGGAATGGTATATTACTTGAATATAGACTGTACACTACACTGTAAACCTTAAAGCAGGCAGCCACTAACAAAAAATGTATAACTAATCCCCCAGTAAAGAGATGAGAATGGAATTCCAAAACATTTTAAAATATGGAACTAAAAGAAAACTAAAACAAATACAAAACAAATAGCAAATGGTATATTTAATCCCAGCCATATCAAAAACCACATTAAATATAAATTTTTTTTAACACTCCCAATTAAAAGGCAGAGCTTGTGATATTGAATAATCACATTGATACAGAACAATTGTGATATTTAAAAAAGCAAGAACCAAGAAATAACGTGCTTGGGCTTCCCTGGTGGCGCAGTGGTTGAGAGTCCGCCTGCCGATGCAGGGGACACAGGTTCGTGCCCCGGTCTGGGAAGATCCCACATGCCGCAGAGCGTCTAGGCCCGTGAGCCATGGCCACTGAGCCTGTGTGTCCGGAGCCTGTGCTCTGCAACGGGAGAGGCCACAACAGTGAGAGGCCCGCGTACCGCAGAAAAAAAAAAGAAAAAGAAATACTGTGCTAATGTCAATCAAAAGCAAGCTGGAGTGATATTAATAGCAAAGTAGATTTTATAGCAAAGAATATTATAAAGAGGATCATTTTATAATGATAAAAAGGTCAGTTTAGCAAGAGAATGTGATAATCCTATGTATCTAGTAATAGCTTTAAATTTTATTAAACAAAAACTGATACAACTAAAAACAAAGCTACAGATACAGTCAGTTTTCAATATATCTCTCTCAAACCATTAGAACAAGTAGACATAAAATTAGTAAGGGGACAGAAGACTTGAACAACACTTTTAACGAAATTGATGTTATGTATAGAACTCCCCATGCAATCACAGAATTAACATTATTTTCAAATATACAAGGATGATTTACCAAGATAGTTTATATTCTGGGTCATGAAACAAGTATTGATAAATTTAAAAGCCACAAAATATGTTCTCTGATCACAATGAAATTAAATTGAAAATCTGTACCAGAAGGATACCTACAAAATCCCTAAATATCTGGAAACTTAGCGACTTATTTCTAAATGACCTATGGGCCAAAGAATAAATCACAAGGGAGAAAGTATTTCAAACTGAATGAAAATGAAGATGTGACATTGAAATTTGTGGGATGTAGCTATGAAGCCTACTTAGAGAAAGATTTATAGCATTGAACATTTATATCAGAAATGTTATATAAAGTCTCGAATCAGTGATCTATGTTTATATCCTATGAAGCTTGGAAAAAGAGCAACTTTAGCCATATAAAAGGCAGAAGGAAGGAAAAACTAAAGGTAAGAACAGAAATCAATGAAATAGAATACAGAAAACAGAATATATCGGTGAAACCAAAAGCTAGTACTTTTAGTCAGTTTGTTCAAGAACAAATGAGAAGGTACAAATTGTCAATATCAAGAATTAAAGATGAGACACCATTACATATCCTACAGACAGTAAAAGAATAATAATGAAAACATTATTAAAACTTTATGAAAATAAATTAAATGACTTAGATGAAATGGGCAGAGTCCTTGAAAGGCACAAATTACTGAAGCTTACTAAAGAAAAAGTACCATGAATAGTCCTATATCTATTTAAAAATAGAATTGGTAATTAAAAACTTTCCCAAAAAGAAAACTCCAGGCCCAGATGATTTCCCTTCCAAATTTCACTCATTATTTAAGAAAGAAAGAATAGTTCAATGGAAACTCTTCTAGACAGTAGCAAAGGAGTAAATACTTCCCAACTCATTCTATAAGGCTGGAAATATCCTGGTACTAAAATCAGACAAGGGCATTAAAGAAAAAATAAAGTCCAATGATCTTCATGAATATTGATGTGAAAATTCTTAAGAAAATTTCATCTAAATACATCCAACGATGTGTAAAAGGGATAATATATTATGATCAAATGGAGTTTATTTCAGGAGCAGCTGGTTCATTTAACACTCAAAGATCAATCAATGTGATTCACCATATTAACCAACATAATGGGGAAAACTATCTCAATAGACAGAGAAAAAAGCATTTGACAAAATTTAACATCTATAGAAGGAAACTTTCTCGGCCTGATAAAGGGCATAGATTAAAAACCTAAAACTAACATCACACGTAATGGTGAAAGAACTAAAGCGTTTAGTGTTTTTATGGTAAAGCAGCAAGTTGAAGAGGTAGTTCATTCCTTAACTTGCTCAGCTATAGGTGGAACTGTAATTTCTTTGCTCCATTTTGTGACATGAAACTTTTTAATGCTATCTTATTGTGATGGGATCATGCCTGTTACCTAAGGTAGGCTTTGCCATCTGTGAAGACTCAGTAAATGGCAAGCTAAAATTTTTTTAAAAACACATTATACACTGGGAACAAGAAAAGCATGTCCATTCTCACCACTTCTAGTTAACATCTTTGTTTTTTTTAACTTCTCAAGTAGGTTTTACTATTTGTTGAAGATGTTCTCTGTGCCATATTTATAAACAGAAGTTTAATATACAATTGTCATACAATAATAAAAATAAATACTTTTTACTCTTTATCAAATGAATGTTTGCTTAAGAAAATTCAAGGGATGTTTTCAAGAATAGTTCTCATCTTGCCAACAAGCTTTTTGTGACAGCCTGATTTTTTAAATTGAGGTATAGTTGATTTGCAATATTATATGTTTCACATGTACAACATAATGATTCACAATTGTTAAAGATTATACTCCATTTATAATTATTATAAAATGTTGGCTATATTCCTTGTGCTGTATAATATATCCTTGTATCTTATTCTATTGAACATCTAACTGGAAATTTTAGACCATGAAATAGGCAAGAAAAAGAAAATAAAAAGGATACAGATTGAATATGAAGAAATAAAACTATCCTTATTTGCAGACAACATGTGTGTGGAAAGTCCCAAAGAGTCTACCAAAAAACTTCCTAGAACTAATAAATGGTTTAGCACAGTTGCAAAATACAAAAATCGATTGTATTTCTGTATACTAGCAATAAACCATTAAAAATTGAAATGAAAACCAATAACAATTAAAATAGCATCAAAAATATGAAATTCTTAATATATATCTGACAAAAATGCACGAGACCTGTGCACTGAAAACTACAAAACATTTCTGAGAGAAATTATAAAAGACCTAAATAACTGGAACAATATACCATGTTCATGGATTGCAAGACTAAGTATTATTAAGATTTCAGTTTTCCCCAAATTAATCAATGGATTCAGTACATGACCTATCAAAATCTCACCAGGTGTTCTCAAGGAATTGACAAGGTGATTCTAAAATAAATAGAAATGTAAAGAACCTGTAATAGTCACAGACTTTTTTTTAAAGAACAGAATTTGAATACCTATACTCCCTGATTTCAAGATTTACTACAAATCCACAGTTACTAGTAATCAAGACAGTTGATTATTGGCATATACACACATAATACACACACACACCAGCACACCATTACATAACAAAAGATCAGAATAGAGAGTCTGGAAATAGATTCAACATGTATGGTCGATTGATTTTCAACAAAGGCAATTCAATGAGATAAGTGTAAACTTTTTACCCAGCAGTGTTTGAACAGTTGGATATGCATATGGAAAAAAATTCTTTGACTCTTAATCTCACACCCTATGTAAAAATCAACTCAAAATGGATTTATTTATGTAAAATTCTAGAAAATGCAAACTACAATAATCTCTAGTGACAGAAAGCAGATCAGTAGATGCCTGGGAACAAAGTGGGAAGCATGAATTATAAAGAGGCGTGAGGAAACTTTTGGGAATGATAGATATGTACATTATTTTGATTGTGGTAGTGGTTTCATGTATGTATATGTATGTGTGTGTATATATATATAATCAGATTGTACAATAAACAGCATATAAAGTGTAAGTCAATTATATCTCAGTAACACTGTTAAATAACTACTGTGTCAAGGCATTTGCTCTATTTTGTGTCATTCCATTGTATTGGGGGATATAAAGTATAATACCAAGGAACCTTTTTGACCTGCTCAGTACACAGGTCCTGTACTTTTTTGTCAAATGTGTGCCTAAAAATTTGAAATGCCTAAGTACTTCCCCAGTCACACACTCGCTTCTATATTTCAGATTGAATATGAACACAGAGCACCAGAGTGCCGTCTGGGTCTGAAGGAAGGCCGTCCATTCTCAGGGGTCACTGCATGTTTGGACTTCTGTGCTCATGCCCATAGAGACTTGCACAACATGCAGAATGGCAGCACATTGGTAAGTGGTGCTGAGGAGAGGTTAGCAGCATGTCCTGTTGAAGAGTAGAGGACTGGAAGTTAGCAGCATTTAGAGTAATATGTTTTCTGCCGGTGTCCCTGCAGAGAACAGTGTTTTCATGAATGATTGCTATTGCAAAGTGACCTTGTTTTGCATAACTAGTACTCTCATAACAGGTTGGCATGTCACATCAGTGGAAAACTGTATTGACAAACCTGTGAAAATCATGGAAATTCTTGGTGCTAATCTAAACCAGTGACTAAGCCTCACCAGCTACAATCAGATGCCCAAAAAAATTCTTTCAGAATTCACTGTCAGATATCTAGTAGGTTATAATCAGTTAAGCAAAAAGCCATATACGAGCTAAGGTACCAGTCCAGCTTGCAGAGAAAAGTATAAATGAAAAATGCATCGTCGATGTCACACCAACTACTACAGAAGGTTCAAAGTGCAAAAGAACCCATTGTAACTACATATTACAGTGGGTAAAATGGATTGGTCCTTGTATTTGAAGGCTTTGATAAGGGGAGAAAATGGATCCATCTTAGGGGGGAGCAATGTTGCATACCATCAAAACCCAGGGTGTGGCCTTGCACCTAAAGAGATGACTCGGAGTGGAGATAAAGAATGAAAAAGCTCAAGTACAGAAACTATAAATTAATCAACCTAATGCATTATCAACATGGATACAGGTGTAATTGAGGAAGATGACCAATGAGACCTAACATGGAAAATAGAAGGCAGGCACTATAGTTAAATTATAGTGTAGAAAAGAATTCAGAGAGATAGTAGGCAGTAGTGGAATTAATTTGAGGAATCTGGTGTGAAATTTTTGTTGAGAAACAAAATTGAAGGTATTGGTTTAATGGTCTAGAGCAGGGGCTGGAAAAGTTTTCTGTTAAAAGCTTTGCAAGCCACATAGGATCTCTGTCATATTCTTTGTTTGGGATTTTTTCAATAAAAAGTTCTTTAGAAATGCAAAAAAAACATCCTTAGTTCACTGGCCATACAAAAACAGGCTGCAAGGCAGTTTGGCCACAGGCCCTAGTTTGCTGATTTCTGATTCAGGAGAACAAACATGAGACTTATCACCCACAATATCTAACACCATCACTCATCAGGTATTGAACACCTGCTCATCATTTGGAGGCTCTGCTAGATTCTGGGAAGTAGAAGAAATAAATGATAGCTGGAGCTACAATAGGTCTTGAAGATAACCAGGTTTCTCTCCAGCAAGGTGATGGAGAGTGGGCAGAGGATGAGAAAGTTTTTGAATGAAGGGGAATTTGTCTCTGATAGGTCACAGGTTCTGTGAGGTGAAATGGAAAGCAGCAGTAGAGACGTAGAAGCGAGTAAGGATAAGTTGTGGGAAAAGGTTACAAGTGCTCAGAGGCAAGGATTTGGGAAGACTTATGTGTACGAAGTGAAATGCTCATTTTAATACCATTGCCTGTTAAACTTATTTATAAAGGTAAATCTAATGTAATCATCACATTCCTTTCAAGAGTATTTTCAGTGATTTTGTATTACCTTGGGTTTTAAATAACTGTGGTCGCATTTTCTCCGTTAGTTAAAAACACTAAATACTAAAAGCTAGTATTTTAAAACCAACAAACAATCTTTCATCAAAGCCAATGTGATTGTGGCCAACAAAAGAAATAAAGTACCATCAAATTATCAAAGCAGCAGAAGTAGCTTTTTTCTTTTTTTCTTTTCAGAAGAGAAATGAGTGAGAAGAGAAACAATGTTAGATTTCATAAAGTACAGAGGAGGGAAAAGAAAGGTAGAAGGAGTGTTAACTTAAATATTACCTGTGTATCAGTCAAATCTTCGATGTCACATTATTTAGATTTCACGTTGGTATCCTGTGGAAATTTCTTAAACACAGTTAAGGAGAGTTAGCTGTGAGGAAAGATGTGAAATCTCTTTGTGTACAAAGTATGAGATGAGGCGAATGTGATGTTACCAAAAGCAGAGGAAGTCATCTGGTAGAGGAAACTTGTAGCTTCCTTTTTTTTTTTTTTTTGCGGTACGCGGGCCTCTCACTGTTGTGGCCTCTCCCATTGCGGAGCACGGGGTCGGGACGTGCAGGCTCAGCGGCCACGGCTCACGGGCCCAGCCGCTCCGCGGCATGTGGGATCTTCCCGGACCGGGGCACGAACCCGCGTCCCCTGCATCGGCAGGCGGACTCCCAGCCACTGCGCCACCAGGGAAGCCCTTGTAGCTTCTTTTTGAAGCTTCTTCCCTTAGTCAGAAATGTATGTGAAGAACAGTGTCACTGCAGGTAACAGTTCCTGATAGATTCCAAAAAAAAAAAAAAAAAGTCAACATGAACTTGTTTATCTTGATGTACATTTTGATGCAATTTTCATTAATAACAGACAATCATGGTTTTATGGTAACAAACCAATCTGGTCCAGTAGGCCAGCACCACAAATCTAAATACTGAGAAGGGAAAAGACACACACACACACACACACACACACACACACACTCAGAAGTGTTACCTCTTCCCTGCCCCTCCAAACACACACGTAAGGAATAGCTGGGAAGGTCCTGGTGGCGGTAACCATGGCCGGTGGCCCGGTGACCGGGCGG